GTCTGAAAACGGCCAAAATATTCAATAACAGCATCCAAAATGACCATAAGATTTTCAGCTGACATATGCACAATCGCATTCTGCCCATAAAAAAAAATATATATTAATATACATAAGGTCATAAAGAAGGTAACGCTATCCCTGTAACAGGCCGCAGAGGCCCATACGGCTGTGAGACGTCGAGACTCCCACATTTCTAGACAATCAGCTTACAGATGGCGGTGAGATCAGCCTTACGCGCCGGCTACAATTTACACCCCAGAAAGATTCCTGGTACTCATTTCTATTAGATGCTGAGTCGACCGCAGGCAATAGTACGGGTGGAAGGAATAGGTCAATTAAAAAAATCCAATGACCTCGTCGGGATTCGAACCCGCAACCTTCCGGCTTGTAACACAGTGCCCCTATAATAAGGTCATAGGATGGAAAACTCTGAATAGACAAACATTGACAATATTTCCTTCTTATATACAAATAAAATTATTGTTTTACGAAAGAAGTTAAAACGGGCTGTAACTTTACAGATACTTTGTGGCGCACATCCTGCAGTTCCAGTTCCACAAGTCACTGTGCATCGTGGCTGAGCAGTATGTCCCTAACAATCCCGACAGACCGCTTCATAAGTGTGACATATACCAGTCGCAGAAAGCAGGACAACTCTTGAGGTGAGGATGGTATAACAATTCTGTTTTTGTGTTTTAATATTCATAACACAAATAAGTCGTACTAGAAATAGCGATGACTCTTGTTATTGTACAGGTTAGAACAGATGTTAATTATTTAGAGATCCACGGTAACGTTTTAAACAACAAATGAGCATGAAATACATGCATGAAACTTCTGGGCAAGGAAGATTTTTGGGAACACTTGAAATGACGCATGCGTATTGAAAACATGAATCGTAATTGTTAATTTGGGACGCATCCATCCTCTTTTGGTTTTTTAAACATAGTGTTTAGGGAAGCCGGATCTGTTTCCGTCATCAGGTGTAAATCAAGGAAGGTCCCTAGTCAATAAGTGATCTAGAGTGGTTGTTTCTGGTGGGTGTAATTCGATATAAATATTTCCTCCCCTAAAATGTTAACGTAAACAGGTCAATTATCCGAAACAATCTTAAAAAAAACTGGTATCTGGACAACGCTCAAAATAATAGTAAAGTTTATTGTTACACATCATAGTCAGAAACATTTTCAGACTTGCCATAACTTCATAACATTGTTAATTTATAAATTTAGATCCTCTTACTGAAAAAAAAATATTCTGCTTCATTTAATGACAGTTTAAATTTTGTTCAGCTGCACAGAACAATGTGTCTGCGATTGTTTCTAGGTCCCTTTTGATTCACCATTTCATTTTAAATTTCGTAAACGACAGTCGGTGTTTGAGAGAGCCCGGAATATTTTTCTTTTGCCTTCTGCACTGTTCCAGTTTTCAGATGAATACTTCAAAACAAAAAATTGTATTTTACTTCTAAAATGTTTGTTCTCACAGCAGTTGTTTTGACGGTTTCAATCTTCTGGTATATAACACTGTGTAGTTCGGCTGAATATCAACTGACATTTCGGAGGAATAATTCGCATCCATCTTCAGAGTTGAAGAACATGCCAGGAAGAGCAACAAACAGGAGATTCCACCGAATAGGCGTTTGCCTCTCACCGGACTACACGGCAGTATATTCCAGAAGATAAAATTGTTCTTTTATTTCACTATTTTTTTGTTTACTGAAAGTGTTTCGTGGACTGAGAGTCTGGTTGTGTCTGTCAGGGATGGCTTGAGTATTGGAAGCTCCCGCCACTGGACCGAAGCTCTGCAAATACTGACCGGTGAAAGTAAAATGAACGGTTCGGCGCTGCTCGAGTACTTCCAACCACTCTACGAATTTCTGAAGGCGGAAAACAGCATAGAAGAGAACAGCAGCGAGTATACTTCGGATGACCAAACGGTTCCAATTGTTGTCGGTGCCGTTCTTCTGGGCGTCGTTGTGATTGTTATTATCGGTTACCTGGTTTTCAGAAGGCGTGCAGCGAAGAGAAACGCGTCTGCATAAAGATAAACTTGATTTTATGACGGCAACAAAGGAAAATTTGTATTCATCGAAAGAACTGTAATACAGAATATGTGCATACAAATGACGCTGTCAAACATAGAAGCCGCTGACTACTTCTGCTCTTAATAGTACGCATCCTGTTGTGTGTTATAAGCAAGGTACACAAAATGCATACAAAAGTATGCAGCTGCAGTCTACACAACAATATTCTCTATTTAAAACAAAGTAGACACTGTCGTATCAACATTTCCTTTACGCTACATGTTTCCACCCTTATACTGGGTCATCATCAGACTCAGTTGCTGAATTGCATCTAATTATTGTACCTAATTCTTCAACAAGGACGTTTATTGTGCTCTGGAGTGTTTTAAATGCATAAATTGAGTCTTCAGAATTTTAAAATACTTAGATAATAAATTTAAAAAGTTAAAGACTAAAGATTAATGACCGCTACGTGTTGATACGATTTTCTGGTGGTAGAAACGACTATAATGTGGGGACCTGCGTACAACATAGCGACATCAACACAGGGAGCAGCCTGTACACATATCATCATAAGAAAATCTAATATACATCACTCCAAACAAACAACCTAGTGGGTGAAATACAGAATAACGAGCATAAGGTCCACAAGACGATAGTAAGGTCAACTAACTTATGAGAGGATCCCGGTACGCAGGCGCCCCAAACTATAGTCGTTTCTAACACCAGAAAATCACGTCAGCACGTAGCGATCACAAAATTTTAAAAAAGATTTATCGCAAAATACGTACTTCATTACCATTTTAGTACAATTTTAATTTTTATGTTTCAGTCTTTAGTCTCTAATTTTTAAATTTTATTATCTGAGTATTTAAAAATTTTAACTGAAAAATTCAATTTATGCATTTAAAAACATTCAAGTGCACAATAAGGATCCTTATTGAAAAATCTGATGCAATTCAACAACTGAGTCTTGTATCATTGCACTCCTGATGATGACCAAGTATAAGGGTAGAAACATGTAGCGTCAATAAAAACAAATGTTGATACGATAGTGTCTACTTGGTTTTAAATGCAGAATACTTTTGTATATATTTTATGAACTTCTGTTCTTATTCCTTGCATTGTACTCAGCATAAGGTGCACCTTGTTCATACACTTGAAATTTCGCATAAATCATGAATATATTTTAATATCTAAAGTTCAGAAAATATACACCCAGTAATTGGTACGTTTCTTAGGTACTATGGCTACTTGACAATTCATTGTTTTAAAAATATCTTCGGGCGAATACGTTAGAAACTTTACATGTTTGTAAATTCTTTGATGTTATACAGCACCTCATTCGTTCAACATATCGGTTCATCATATTCATTATGATCAAGTATCGTTAGGCACCACTGGAAATAAGAGAATGCCTAATAATGTTAAACATGAAGAAAGCAGTCTTCTGAGATTTGGCACCGTGTATAAGTGGTGTTAACATACCTTATACACGGTGCCAAATCCCAGAAGACTGCTTTCTTCATAGTCACCGCCGTGAAAGCCTCAAATCTTACATAATGTTAAACATATTCAGTACAGTATATTGCCACGTTCTTTTCTGGGGGGGGGGGTTGCGCATGACTTATAAGACGAGTTTTGGATTGGATTTATTTCACTTTATACATTCACAACTCGGCACTCAGGTAATACAGTGTTATCGCTGATTTACGTACATTCTTTATAGTTCACCGCTACACATGCACTACTTTCCTCAGTCTTCACTAGTCGTATCCTGGCAACGGATTTATAACAGTCTCAGTGTAGCTTCAAGTCACACATGAAGTCTTCTTTGCACAGTCTAACTCCTTTCTTGCTATTTATTCTCAATCACCTTCAACTACCAAACTACCACGCAGAAAACATCCTCTATATTGTTGAGAAGGATTGTTTACCGATCCGTTTCCTAGCAATAGACGTCCTATTGTTGGGCGCGTTGTGTCCCGCGGGAATGTGTTCACCGAGTCGTTGCCCAGCAGTGGGTCAATATGTCACAATATACTGCAAGCATAAAGAGTGTTTTAAAAGATGTACAATCTTTGAGCAATCATTATGACGTTTGCAGACCGAGCAAGAAGTCTTGTGCAACTTACTTCCAGCAATATTTCCTTACGGAGCTAAATCCATTTTTTTTCTGAAGATACGTAAAAAGGGTGAGAAATAAAAATATTATTATACGATGAATGTTTATACTATCTATGATCCATATTTCACTATCTTGTCTATCTGCCTATATATATTCTAATACCTATAATCTGCGTAGTGCACTGTACATGGAATTGGTCGTGCTGCCAGAACCACACGGCCTCCTGGCCTTCATGATTTCCGGTTTTCAAACTAATCAATTTCCATCTCTGAGACCAAGTGGAAAGTTTCTTCTGCCATAAAGCGTCGACACTAGCGAGAACTGTGTTTCCACAGGCAGGATACATACAAAATTATACCTTATACTCCTTGCTTTTATTAAGGCGCAGAGCTCGGGGCTCATGCATGTGAGTAGTAAGAGGAGTCTATTCTGCGTACCATGTGGGAGGTATAACAAAGCATATTATCGTCTAGGGAATATTTTCATCCTTCGCTTCCTCTTACAGACATTGAAAGCAATATGGATCTAGCGTCATATGGAAGAATATCAAGTTACAAGTTGACTAGAAATTTCAAACTCCCCGTGTCACCTTCATTTCCTTCCGAGAAATGGGAAATTATTAACGAAACAGCGTGTCGATATAAAATTTTGTCTCTGTCATTGGTGCTCTCCACTGACTTGTATTTTACGTCATCTTCATAGATCATTCTTATTGGAGAATAAATGAAGACATTTATTTGATCGTATTAATAAAAATTTATTAAGTATTATACAAAAATACAGCTGAAAAGAACATAAACATTAAAGCACTGTACTAGGGTAATGAAACAAAACTATAAATCGTTTTCTTAAAAAACAGAGATAAAAATTACGGAGCTATAGTATAATTTATGTGGAATTATACCATTTCTGTATTCGAGTTTACATCTACACTCTCGCAATGTGCAAATGGGTGACAGATTCTGCAAAGAAAGCGCCTTCGTTAAATTAACTTGATTAGGTGGGGTGTTACGAAGGGGAAAATCATATTATAACGTATTAGAATCGGCATAGTGATGCACTGTATCTCTAGCAAATGGTTTAAACTGCTTTCATTTTATACTTGGCTATTAGGTTGCAAATAGTGGGTCAAACTTCGTTCGATTTTCTTCCTTATTTTCTTATTACTAATGCGATTACCAGTCTACAAAGTAAGCATATTATCATACCGTAAAGTAAGGTTTTCCCTGTACTTAATTAATTAACCATTACGCCCTGAAGACGTATGGTGGAGTGGATGTATAGAACCACGTATTCTTGACTTGGCACTATTTGGAGGTAAAGAGTCCGCTTCAAGCCCTGGGCGCTTTACCCCCGGGGAAAGAGTCCCTGGTGTCCATTGGAAAGGAGACTGGTTGGGTCCAAGAACCGGTTTGGGAGACGTGGGGAGGAGAACCACTTTTCCTTTATAGGGACTCGAACTCTGACCCCTCGGTCGTCCAGCCAGTAGCCAGTCGCTATACCGACTGTGCTATCCTGGCTCCTGGTATCAGATCGCCCTTGCGTGAATATTGTAACTCTCTATTTGCAGTGTACGTCATTTGTGTCTGTAGTGGATAAAATTGGGAAAAATTTTCAGGTTTATCACAGGTGTGTCTAAAGGATATTGACTGGTGTCCAGTATTACCATCGTCAACCTTCAGTCAAATAAATGTTAAATGTATATATATAACATAAAAATTAGTAACAGAAAAGCTGTGTCAGTATTTACGTGCAAATAAATATTCATTACCTTTTAATATCTACAATTAAAACGGTTCCTATTTCAAATTATTTCAATAGATTAATGCAGTTTCGTGTTGTGCAATCTAAAGAATGCTCTGGTACGTATAATAACCGCATTCCCGAAAAATATTTTTTTTCAGAAAAGCTGTTTCCTTTCCTACCAAATCGAGTTCCCAACTTCCTGCTACGGATGTGCAGCTAAATTTAATACACACATATTCAAACGTTTCATTTTCTTGATGTTCTGCTATAATTATTCTGAATATTCGGTATTGGACGGTTACGTTATCATGTAAATAAACAAACATTTAAGTAAAGTAAATTATTATTATTATTGTATTTATTATATTTGTATTTGTGGTGACTCCGTAATTGGCCATTGGCTGCTGAGCTCGGCACGTAAATAAATGAACAACTGTATTGAATTGAAACTATAAACTCTTAAATGATTTGTTCTAGTTAATAATCCATACATTTAGTGAATATATATATATATATATTAACACAATGCTTGCATTACACTGAAATGTAGGTCTATGTACTTATCTGTAATACTACGAGAATTCTTGTATTTCCTTCAATATACTGAATTGTTTACATGAGGTGAAGCGAGATGGGGCAGGCAAGTTAAGATATTTCATGGTTACTAAAACCTCAGATATATTTTGAGCAAAGGGATACAAGTGCACTGCAGCTCATCCGACGAGTACATCATGGATCCCACCTCTTCCTTCTTCGTCACGAGGCCATGGAAGGAGAAAGGATAGGCAAAACTGATTACTGGCGAAGAACAAGATGCGAATGCTGAATAAATCGGAACAGCTATTCTAGATTTCATCTTTGTTCGAAGATTATGCAGTCTTCTTTCAAAATATGTGCGAGAGCACTGACACATTATGACCCATGAAGGTAGAAAATAAAGTGAAATAAATTACATGAAGGGTCTAAATTTAGTTTATTTTCGAGTTATTAGTAGAAAAATGGCAAAAGCACAATAACAACTTCTGAAAAAACCCTGTAGAAAACAGAGCAATTTGCAATAATATGCACTATACGTATATTTCAGACATTTTCCAATTTGTCAGCTAAAAAGTCACAATTAAACAGGTTAATAACATTTGCAAGAATCCCCTATATATTTTTTTAATTTTAAATTTTTTTTTCTAAAAACTAAGGAGAAATTACTTGTATACCTTTGCATTCGACCACTTCAATTTTGATTGCACGCCCCACAAATGGGTTTTGGGTCATGAAACTTGAATTTACTTAAGAAATACTATGTGAAATCTGTATTAATTTATTTGGTTTATTTTAGTTTTACTTTACGACTCTGTTATTATGAGCAGTAGCAAGATGACTGGTAAATAATGAAATGGAGAGGATCTGGAAGGAGGCGGTATTGGCCTAATCGCGATACTGCCCTCGATGTGCTTGGGAGAACCGAGGACAGTCAGTGTATCGAACGAGACTCAAGCCGAACCTTCCCGAATACATATTTATAGCTTTGTGGCTGTATAAACGTGCTCAGTTCGTTAAGTTACGTAATGATGGATAAATTTAGGACTGAATTATGAGAGTGCCGGTCACGGTAGCCGAGAGGTCTAAGGCATGTACTGTCTTCGATCGCTTGGAAACCAGGATCGTGAGTTCGAATCCCACTCAGGGCATGGATGTTTAGTTTGTGTGTGTGCGTTCTTCTGTGTTTGTCTACAGGTAGAGGCCTTGCGACGAGCTGATCACCCGCCCAAGGAGTCCTACCGAAAGTGTAAGATCTAGAAAAACCGAAGTGAACGGAGAAGTTCTTGGAGGCAGGCCCAGGCCCAGTGGGGCTGTAGTGCCAAGGGAAAAATAAAGAAGAATTATGAGAGTTTCATGAAACAGAAGCTTGCTATAAATGATCAAGCACGGAAGTAGCACTCATTTTCTATTTCTTTCCATTGCATTATCTCGCGTTACTCATACTCGGTCAT